CAAACTGTACCAAAAATCAACACAAAGTTTGTGTTGATTTGATTGACACAAGTTTTGTGTTTCACTTTACAAGAAGACAATTATTTTTATCAATGCTCGCACGACAATTGATTTTAACTAAATAATATTAATCAATTCTACCCGAATCATTCTCAATGAATTTGTCTAAAAAGGTCCAAGATAATTTTATAATTGCTACTTTCATGTAGTGTTAGTTTATTTCAGCTCTCAAGCCCCACACTGAGAAAAATAGTTGTGTTGTCCTATTATTATTGATTAATGTAGGATGTAAAACAAAAAGCATTCCAAAGTTTATATTGATTATGAGGTACAGTTTTTGGTATTTGGCGCAGAAAACGATGGAAAAATTGGGGACCCCTGAATTAACCGAAGAGTTGGGTTACTTTTCTCGCATGTACACCAAACTTTCATTTTTTAAATGTTATTTTTTCTCTCGTGCGGCTGGCTGGATTTTATTCACTCCACGCAAGTTGATTGTTATAAAAATGAGGCTAATCACAACTATGAAATCGTTGCAATGAAGATGAAAATCCCCCTAAAGCAGACCTTTTTAAAAATAAATCAGTCAAATAAAGTAAAATGCATTAAATTAGCTTTTAACAAGGCATCTGAAAATGAGAATAAATACTCGTAGACAGTTTTGCTTCTCAATGTTTATAATGTATAACCACTATAACCACAACAAGAGATCAATGGCAATTGTGTTGTTTTTGAATGAGCCAAATTAATGCGTCTTGCTAAAATCTGTCCATTCATGTCGAAGCAGAACAAAACCTAAAACATACATCGAGTGGAAGTTCAAGCATCGGTTCCGAATTCTTAACAGCAGATTTGAAAACTGGGGTTATACTTTGATCGCTACTATTTGGGTACCATATAAATCCTATAGTTCGTAGTCTATCGGACGAAGAAACGTAACTCCACTTCAAGGTTGCAAAGTTGACTTGGACAATCTAATTTTTTACAAGGAGACACCCGTGAGATTGTTGTTCAAAATTTTTCTTACCATTGCACGAGACGAGAAGAAAAGTCAGCGAAATTTTCAGTCAAAAATCCCCAAGAATTTTAAGGTAACAATGCAATCTGCGATGGGAAATTCGGCAACAGTGAAATGCAGTTACGTTATTTCGTGAGAGGAGCTACGTAATTTAGAGGGTTAACCCTCCCTTTACGCGTGCGCTCACGTAACTTTTTACACCCTTTAAAACACCATTCTTCCCGGGTCATCTGGTTGTATTACCTGCATCACCAAACTCGCCCTCTTCACAATTTCGTCACGTATTTCACGCGTGTCGAATACGAAGCCGAGATTACATTGGCGCGTTGGACCGCATGCGCCACGTTGCACATCAAATCCCCATAGGAACTCCCATGAAAACCTCGCGCCATTGCAAAGCCTGGCCTCGTCGCTTTCTATGCTGCCGTGCTAAGGAAGAACGCCGTATGAACATTCGAGAGTTGCCAAATTTCCTTCAGTAAAATGTTTATTTTCGAAGGAAGGAATGAATATTTTTTCTTGAAATTTTCAGGGACTTTGAGTGACACTGCAAACAAAATTATCTGAAAAATTGCAAGGAGAATATTCCTAAGTTTACCAGGAAATTCGTGTTTTATCAAAGGAAATTTGGCAACGCCTGATGGTTCATACGGCGTGTATCCTCAGCGCGGCAGTATGAAGAGGTGCTCTTCATCATGTGAACTCGTGATAATATTTTGTCTAATTTTAATATGAAATCCCGCGCTCCGTCCTCTCGACAAGCGTGGCGGCATCTTCGTCTCTTTTGTTCCACCGCGCTTTGATGTAATGTTTGGACTTCTGAGTCACGCACGCAAGGTCGTTCATTACGTCGCTCTTCTGACATAAGGGCGTATCTCGATTTCTGCTTGAGCCCCAGAATGTATTGTTTTATATGTAAAAAATGGCTCACGTTGAAATTGAGATAAGCCCTTTTGCCAGAAGAGCGGAGATTATTCAACGCGCACTTGTTTGACCGCAATTTTCGGCCTCCGTTTGATCACCGGAGAGGGTGGGAACTTTCGCATTGCTGCTATTTTGCTCCGATGGAGGTTGGCGTCAAATCCAAAAAACGAGCGAATCCACTCGTAGAAATGCGTCTACTCAAAGCCCTCACTGAAGCGGAAAGAAGAGTTTCCCATGAATCACGAAATGGTTCGTGGTGCGGCTCATGGCTTCAAATCACGGAAAGTGGATTGGGAGTTCGTGAAATTCACTCCTGATTTCACAATATGGAATTTGCGAATTTTTAAACTGCATGGCTGAGAATCAACGGAACCTAGGTATCTGCAATAATTATGAAAAACGGATTTAATCTTGCAATTTTAGTCTACTTTCCTAATCTGCGTTAAAGTCTCAGAAAAATTTCTGTGGAGTATATATGCGTATTCATGAGACAGTACGAAACAGCGAAAGTTTTATAGTTTCCTAATAATTTTTGCTTGATAAGAATTGACTATAGGTGCTGATTATTGCAACTGATAGACATCGCGATGGACGAAGAGAGCTATCCTTTCGGTTCAAACGTTTGGTTGTTTTTAATTTGGTGTTACGCCAGTTGCGATTCTTGAAAGATGGTAACACTGTTTTTTCTTCATTTACATCCATTATAAATGTCGATTTCAGGTGAGGAAAGTATCGATTGTTTTACATACATTTAAATGTAGGAAAAACAGTGCTGCCAACTTTCACGGATGGCCACTGTGTTACATTCATAGATTGCTTGACTCAGTATGATCTTTAAAGTGATTTCTATAAACAAAAATACTATCAATGCCGGTTTTCTACAAAATAAAAGTTCGTTCCTTGCATAACTCGTTGGAACTCGGCACATCCATCGGAGCAGTGGCGCACAGCATGGTGCCGCGGCTTCGGCGGATGAAGAACAACATGTGGCCGATACAGTTTGTCACACTCCTACTGACTCCTTTGTACCGGCTGCATTCAATGCACAACCCTACGCTTTTGTCGTTGCGCGCCGCGTTGCGGTCTCAATACGCTCGAACGTCGAGCCATCGACACGAGCATGATCCACGATCCCAAGTTCCACTCGAATCATGACGCTATCGATCGGAATCGATTCGCCGTGACCGCGCGAAGCGAACAATGCTCGTCTGGTGTCGGTTCGTCTCGTTGCACTTTTCATGCTATTGTTGCGTGTGTCAACACCAGACGGCGCGCGGCGTCGTATGCCTCTTGTTTGCGTTCGCTGCGGACGTTGGCTTTGACTTTGCTTGGAGATTGAGTCTTCTGCTGAGCTGATACACTGTGACTGAGCTTTGAGTGCCTTCGTATGGATACATGCTGCCCGTTCTTATCTCCTACCGAAGAGCGCGACAATGATCAAATTTTCAAAATTAACTAGTGGGGAAACCCCCTGACCGCTTTGCGGTCCCATATCCCGAAGCACTTCACGCCTCAGGCGTTATGCTTTATGCGTTATGCGTTCCTCTCATGATTTTCCATCACAGAGTAAGATTTTACTTCAACACTGGACTAATCCAAATTTAATGAACTGAACGATTCCTGCACAGCAAAATTCATCTTAAGACAGTATGTTGGAATAAACATACGTCCAACATACTGCTTTACGACCCATGCGTCCACCGCAATCAGTTTAAGTAAAATTCATCTTATATTCAAACAAAACGAGAGTTTTAAGGGAGCAGTCTCACCTACTGTTGTAAACTAATTAGTACCTTTTTCTGCCGACTGGTAACCCTAATCAAATGGACGCATTTTTGTCAAACGGAATTATGTGCATAAGATGTGAGCTCTGTTATGCATATGTCATAATCTCCTGGAAGGAGACGAGGGGGACGCCCAGTGAAAGGGTGGCGACAGATGTTTTAGAAGAAATGAGGATTTCCAACTCCCTGGAGGACTTTGGGAGGATAGGGGGCTTTGGCGGCTAGGAGTCGCAGAGCGCCAGAGAGCGCTATAAAAGCGGCTTTATACATGCGTACATATTCAGTAAGGAATCTTTACTTAAATTGCTGCGTTAGCATGCAAAATTAAGCTGACATTAGCCGACCAGTTGGGTCAGTAATTCGTCTATAGAATCAATGCACTATAATATTCGTTGCAACGGGGCACGTGGATTGCCTATTATTCCGTTGATGTTCTTTACGAGGAGAGTAATGGAACTTTCATTCAGAGCAGTCGGTCATCGCATTCATAACCGCTTCGCTCGCTGCGTTTACCAACTGTTCAAGTTGAGGATGTCGGACTCGGAAGGAAGTCACTGCGGAGTCAATTATCTTTTTGATGAGTCTCAGGGAGTTATGAGGTACATAATGGGGTCCCGATCAGGTTCCGCACATGCCTCTCTAGAATCGATGATGAAGGTCGATTTTATACTGTTAGTGGTACTGATATTAGTCCCCCTTGCTTTCATATCAAATTGCATGGATTAAATTTTTAATGTGCTATTGTCGTAAATTGCTCCTCGATGTAGCATATGTTGGCGAAACTAATAAATAGTTTTCAAATAGTATCACACTGCAAAATTCTTACTGAACATACCTACAAACTTATTGAAAATTGATGGTGAAACTAAAATTGGTCTTCAGCTTTGCATACCCCCATTTTTCATTGTAAAAAACTGGAATTTTTTATTGAACAAAATTTTTTCTAATTTTTCTTCAAAGTGTGACGAAAATATGACAAAAAAACAAAAATTTTAAAATACCCCAGGTAAAATAGGTATATCTAATTACATCATCGATTTTTTTTTAAAAAAAAGTCATTTTTACACATTTGTGCCTATGAGGAAGATATGGAGAAAGGAGTCTAGAGAGTTTCGTATATAGGTTTCCGTTTTATGTTAATTTGTTACTTTATTCGTTAAGTCCATGTTACTTCAATTAACTTGTGTTAACCATGTCATACTTCATTCCTAACTTTCATTTTTTCACATCATAATTTAGAATCTCAACGTCTTCCGTATTTGCTTTTGTTTCAGACTGCTTTAAACTCTGGTCAAGTTCCTCTAGAACCAAGAATATCGCAACTAGAAACATTAGAAGCCAAAGTAAGTAATACCTACATATCTGTGTCATTTTGAGCTTATGGTCGGAAGTCAAGCATCTCTTTTTGTGTGACATTCATATGTATATTTGATCTCTCTTCCAAAATGGAAAAAAAGGAGAAGAAAAAAACCATGTCGATCAATATGCAGCGGGTTAATGAAAGCGGAAAACATCTGAATAGAAAGGCTCTAAGGTCAAAGAAAATCAGGAATTCCGAGAATTTTGGAGTCTGGGAGAAGTCAAAAGTCAAAAAAAGAGAAGAAAAAAATCATATCGATCTATATGCAGCGGTGTAATGGAAGCGGGGAACATCTATAAATAGAGGGCTCTAAGGTCAAAGAAAATCAGGAATTCCGAGAATTTTCGAATCTGCGAGAAGTAAAAAGTCAGGGAATCGGAAAATGAAGAAATTATGGAAATCTTGCGAGCGTCAATGATTATCTCTTATATAAAGTTATACGATTTACCCCGCGACCCTCTGAACATCGGTCCCCGCCACGCCGTCCCAGCGCGTCCCGCGCCCTTGATGTTCGTTCGGCGGACCCCCCGCGGCCGGGTCTCCGTTCTCCCCGCGGGTTTTCCCGTTCCCACCCCCAGGGGGNGTTTGAAGTTTGAACTTCCCAAAAGTTTTTGTCATTGTTTCAACACGAACAAAACTCAAAGAAGTCAAAACCTAGCCTCAAGATTCGTTTGGAGACCCGCCTAAGATAATTAATCAAATATAATTGTAAAACTCACTTGCGCGTAAAAATTAGTTAAAATGCGCATTTTAACTAATTTTTACGTGCAAGTGAGTTTTAAATTTTATTGGAAAACCTAGCCTGTTGAGTTTGGAGGCTCTTTGGGGCAGGATTTGACTATTGATGTGACAAACCGGAGTCCAACTCAAGTATGTGCCACCCGAAACAGATGGAACTCTCTGATTCCAAACCGTTTTCGGGAGAGAAAAATAGACTGTCGCCAGTAGAATGACCATTAAAGAGCCGTAAATCGGAGTCGGCGAGGTGGTTGCACCGCGCGCCACGCGAGGGCCCCGATCGGATCGGGGCCCGATGCGGTGCCGGTGGGCCCTTGACCCCCGCGACCCCCCTCCGGTGCCCTCTGCCCGAGGAACCGCGGCCCAACCCATAGCCATCTCCTCCAACGCGACGCCCTACCCTAGGTGTCAGATCGTTGAGACCCCACTGCACTCGGATCAAAGAGAATGACTCCCATCCATTTATCATGAGTGGATGCACGGGTCGGTAGCCCATGTGCATTAGTACCAAAATGCTTTTTTACAAAAGGAGTCCTCAGTAGCCTCTGTAGTGAGAATTTCAGCTTGATGCTGAGTTTTTAATGCACGTTAGCGGAAAAAAAACTCCAACATACTAACGACCCGTGCGTCCACCGCAATCAGTTTGTGTAAAAGGAGTCTTTCTACATTGGCAGGTTTCAGAAAGCACATATCGATAGCTTAAAGGTGAGACCATATATCTCCATTTGCAGCATCGTAAACTTCCAGCCATACTTTATTTTGTCCTTGGAAAACTAGTCCACGTAATCTCTTGAAAAATTCCCTGATATTTCTTCTCTGACAGTAGACTATTCTGCCTAAATTTCAAGCTGTAGAGTTGACTTGTTCCTCATATGTTAAAATAGGAAAAATAAATTAGGAGTGGAGACTTTGAAACACTGCAATGGAGTTACGTGGTCTCGCACTGTAGACATCGGTTTTCAACTATGGGGTGGATTGGACGCTAAGATTAAAGTTTGGAGGCTCTTCAGGGCAGGATTCTACTATTGTGTGCGCTAAGGAAAAGCGTCGTATGAACATTCGAGAGTTGCCAAGTGGCAAGTTTCCCCGGATAAAACACGTATTTCCTAGAAAAGTTCTCCATATTTTCCCTTGAAATTTTCAGATATTTTAGATTAGATTGGGAACAAAACTGCGTGAAAATCTTGAAGAAAATAAATTAAAATTCTTCCCTTACATTCGGATTTTATCGAGGGAATTCTGGTTGCGTCTAGAAGCTACGGCATTTTTCCTCAGCACGACAGTATATATCACTGGAAACCCGTGGTCTCCTCCATAGTCGAAATTATCGTCATTTTGATAGCTATTAGGCAGACACGCCTCCATTTTGAAGAGGATCCAGCGAGCATGGAAGAATGACGAAAGAAGTGACGGCTGAGCCTAAAAGAGACACGATCAAAATCTCCAAATCGTCCCGATACGCTGATTTGCATATCACGGCCCTCTAAAGGACCAAAGGAACCATTCCTCCCCGTCACCCCTCGGCCCACTCACAACGGGCAGCGTTAACGATCCGAAATAACAGTAATTTACGGGTCGGCATTCGTATGGCTCCACCGAGCCTTCGTTTACGACTCCGGTGCGTGTCGGATAAATTTTTCGAATTTTCTCATTTAGGATGACTTGACAATTCACTCGGGATAAGGTAAAACGTCTTACCGTGACCTCCCGGCCGAAGTATCACAAGCGCCATGTGACGTTTGAAAATTTCCGCCGCTATTTTATTTTTTACAGGGAAACTGTTCACGAGGCTGTCCGAAAATTTCATTGAATTTTCTTTGTGCTTCCGATAAAATTCAATGACATTTTCAATCAGATTCAACCAACAATTTCTCTGTGAAATGATAAAATGGCTGCGGAAAATTTTGAACGTCGTATGGCGCTTGTGGTCCTGCGGCTGGAAGGTCGAGAAATTGTATTTTCTCGGAAAATTGTGAATTGGTTTCCTCAAAATTTGCAGGGAATTTCATTTGCGATTCAGCCTAGATTCTTCGGAACTTTAAAGGAAGAATATTCATCACGTCTCTTAGAATTAATATTTTTAATGAAGGAAATTTGGCAACATTCAAGTATTAAGACTGGTTTTTTTGATACGGCAGAATTACACAAATAAAATTTTGAAATTATATCGTGTGGTTAAAAAACAAGCCATCTCATTTTTCTTAGACCCTGCGCAGTTTCTTATTTCCTCCAGAAAGAAAATGCGTTTACAACCAGGTGGTTAGGATAGTTGAGCTTGATGGAAAAAGATCGATGAGATGTTCTAGAAATAAGGAGATGGTCGGTTTTTGACTAAAAGAATAAAATAAATTGGGAAAGGCAGCAACGTGAGATGCAGTCACAGGCTCATTCCGGTTAAAGACATGAGATCTTGGTTTACTTCAATGGCAAGACATCCCTTCGCCTAAAAATCGGAGTTTTTCGTATCGTTTTTTCTCGAATCAAAAATCAATTTGACGTAAGATGGATGACGGTGACGTTTTTGAAAAATTCGGTGAATGGCGCCACAAGCTGCAATGGTCGGTGTACATCACGTATACAGTTCGTGTAATTGTGTGTGTAATTGTATCGATCAGTGATGAATATTTCCAAACATTTAAGCACCAATCCCTATTATTTACGAGACGTAGGTGGAAAATGTTACTGTGCGTACGTGATTGTAGGACGTTTATACATAATTCTATAACATGTTTGTGAAAGGACAATATGCTTGTTGTGTTGATACTGGATGAATAAATATGACATTTAAACCATTATTTTTCGCCAGTCCATTAAAATGTCATTCTAGGAAACGGACACTTCCAGGAAATTTTGACCTGTTACAGCATCCTAGCACGATCAAGTCTTGAGGATTAAGTTCCTCATATGTCTTCTGGTGCATTATAAATATACATTATACTTCTGAAGGTGTTGTTCTCCTCAGCTTTCAGTCAAAGTTTAATGACTGGCTTAGTGTAACGATCGGCTTAGTTTAACGACCTGCAGCTTAAATTTTTCCATACATTGAAATGCACAGGTTGTATCTTAATCAGTGCTCAAGTCAGCAATCGCTCCTTTCACGAGACAGAAAGCGCGGATTAAAGAGTGCAAGGTTTCACCTCATCCGATTATCAAATCAGTGAGTTGCTCAAAAGTTAACGACTCTCACTTTTCCTCATTTTGATCCTTAACCGCGTTTTCCTTCTTTTTTTTTCATCACTGCTTTTGGTGTTTCAGATGGCGAGTATAGAGGTGTCACTTTCTACATCGCCGAGGAAAAGAAAAAACGGAAGTCATTCGTCTCTTTCATCTCCTATCATTTACACCTCAAATACTCAATTACCAGAAACTTATGTCAAAGCCAAAGCCTTAGACGTCCTCAGGAACGCTTTTAAAGATAAGGAAAATCTCAACATAATTAACAAGTAAGTATACATATACCTTTAGCATGTTTCATCTTCACCGGAATGGACCACTAGACAAGGTACGAATTTCAGCATTACGATACATGTTTCTTAACCAAAATTTCACGTAGAACACGATACGCTCAACGAAAATTACCAAAATCAATACCTTACGAAGCTATTTAATGATTCTTGATGCGTGAATTCAAACCACCCGCTCATGAAAACTCAATGCTCTACGTGATTCACATCGCGCGCTAAACGTTATCATGACAGTCTCTGCGATATAAAAATCTGGCAACCTCAATCTTGACGCTTTGGCTCAGTTATAGCAAATTGCTAATAGTTCGAACAACACATGATGGGAAATGAACATTGCTCGATTGAGAAGCTTGCTGAAACCGTTGGAGTGGGCGATTTGACAGAGTTTTGAGTTTCTTGTGAGCGGGCAGTTCAAATTCCTCGTAACCAATGTGAAATAAAAACATTAATATCTTCGTTAGGAGTTGGTTTCCGTAATTTTCGTTGTGTGAATCGTTTTCTCCGTGAAATTCTGGTTAAGAAACATGTATCAGATCGCTTAAATTCGTACCTTGTCTAGTGGTCCATTCCTGCGTTTTAGCCTATGTTAAATAATCGATTCTTGTCAGAGCACCTGGCCCCGCCAAGAGTCGATACATTTCCATAGGTTTAAATCAGAGACAAAAGACCCTCCACTAGTATCTCAGCCATGGCGGATGCTTTTACATTTGAGACTTCAGCATTCTACTGTTGATTCACCTACATGGTTGATGTTCAACAGCGTGTTGGTAGTCTCGTTTTGCAAACAAGCCGAAAATGGCCGAAGCTTGGGAAACTTGTTTGGCTCATGACGTCACCCGAAGCTCATCATCCACCATGTATGTATAGTTAGGCCAACAGCCGAAATTAGGGTGATGAATGTTGCTCTCTTATAATTTTCCATAAGAAATTGTTGAATCGTCGAAAGTAAAAGCTTCCACCTGTCGTCAAGAGGCCAGCGGAGGGTCTCTTCTCTCCGGTTTAAATGGGGAAACAACAATGTTGCCAATTTACTGGATCCGCCGATGGTCGAAAATGGTCATCAAAAGTATTCAACTTCTTGGCAATTCCCCACACTGAAAAAAAAGATTGGTAGAATTTACCATTCCTTTACGTTGTATTTCACACAGCGTCAATTCAGAGTCAATTCTGCCAGAAGAAAGGTAAACGTTACTATACATATACTGGTGCAGATAACCATTCCTCTGGCAGAATCGACTCGAAGATTGGTAGAATTTACCATTCCCTCACGCTGTGTGAAATACAGCGTGAAGGAATGGTAAATTATACCAATCTTTGTTTTTTTCATTGCAATTTTAGAAATTAAACGGGAGTTTCGCAGTTTCTAGTTCCATTCTCATCGTTCAATCAACCACGGCAGACTTGCAAGAACTTTCGGAGGCTGTCAATTCGAGCTCGTACAACTGACCGGGAAACGAGAGCTCATCGAAGTCCTCAGATCGGGCGCGAAGCTCATTTGAATCTCCTAATTGGATCCAAACGTTTTAAGAGAAGGGGTCATCCATACGCGCGCGCTTTCCTGATTAATCCGCCCACGGTGGACGGCAGATCCCGGCCACTTATCCTCGTCCCGAATGAATTGGATGAGCTGTTTTTGTAAGAGTAATGGGATTATCAACGCGGCTCGCTCATTCATGATACCTTTGGAGCGGTGCTGCCTGAATGAAAGCATAAATTTACTTCCTTGTATTTTAACCATGTGGAAAATGTGACTTTTATTAGGAATCCAGGGTTCCCAGCGATCTGGAAAACCGGGAAAAGTCAGGGGAAAAAATGGCCTGGAAAACCTGGAAAAGTCAGGGAATTTGCTCAAACAGTCTGGAATTTTTCAAGTACTGGGAAAAAAATTAATAAATTAAACAAACGAAAATGAAAGAATTAAAATTGAGATTTTCGTGCTATGATACTATCCTAGCCTGGTTCTTATAAAAAAAAAAAAAAACAGATAAACCAGATCAAAAATTGATAAAATGCGCGCGCGCTGTCTCTTTGAAGGCAAATTATTTGAGTTTTTTCCGCGGAAAAAAGCCTGGAAAAATTTTCATTTTGACCTGGAAAACCTGGAAAAGTCAGGGATTTTTTTCCTAAATTGTCTGAGAACCTGAAATGGTCACGTCCTCTGATCCAAAGTTTGCAAGATTTCCATGGACGTGGCTAAACGGTTTTGAAGGGGGCATGGACGAATTGGACGTATATTTGTGCTGAAAGGAAGTATGTTACTCGCAAACCCTGCACTGAAAAAAATGTGCTTGGCTCAAGCATGATGATTCTTGAATTTGCCGCCATGAATTTCTTCTATCTTGATTTGAGCTGAATTTTCCTTGATACAAGGAAATTAATGCTTGTGCTAAGCAAAAAAGTAGTTTATACTAAAAAACAAAATTCTTGATTTAAGAAAAAATACTTCTTGGCGGCAAATTTAAGTTTCTTTGTTTTTCAGTGTAAGCACATAATTCCTTTACGGCAGCTATACGATTACATTGTCAATTTGTTTTCCTCTTTATACCGTCCCAACCCTCCTCTACTCCTCTCTACCCCTTTACAGCCCCTCCACCCACCGGAGACGATCATGAAGATTTTCTGTACAAGACAAATCCCCGTTTTACGTTGACATAATGGATCAGTTGGGCAAGTCTTATTTTTTTGTAAAATTGTATACATTTGCTGTGAAGCAGCAAGGGTTCTAAGGAGGTCTAGCAAAACGTGTAGTTATTTCGCCCTCCATTAGTAAGAAAACGATGTATGATCTGATTCACTTCTTTGATGCTATAAAATATGCATACAAAGGTTACCTTTACTTTTTTCGTATCATACATGATGAAAAAAACTTTATTTTTCCTTGATTATGATACTGATACATTGAAAAGGGAAAATTCAGCCTTGAAGTGGATGATACCATCGAGTATATTTTTCCTGGAAGGAATGGCTCTGTTCACATTTGACAAATACTTTTGACGTTCAGACCAGTCTTCCAAGCCACGGCGTTTTTCATAGGGGCAATATATACTTCCGTCAATACGTATAAAGTAGCCGTCCATTAAAATCGTTCTTTTTGATTCAACTACCACCAAACGATTCTTTAAAACGCTTTACCGACCCAGTGCAGCAAAACAGTCTTTCTCACCATTATTTGGCAGCCATGTCTTCTTTTTATTCCGTCCCGCGCCGCGGCGGCACGCAAGTGACAATGTGTCTTGGTGAGAATGTTCAATCATTAATAAAATTTAGGCGCGTCTTGTTCTTTCTCCTCTCATCTGCCTTCTCCCGAGGGTGGATTAACACTTCGACTCGACTCGTACCTGGGGTATTAGCGTCAGTTCCAAACATGAAAAACGGCACTGTGACTTGTGGGCTTCGGTTGATCTATTGCCTCCACCTGAGATTAATCTTACGAGAAATTAAAGTCTGGTCCTGCGGTTTGTTTGCAGAGGTTTCGGTGGTTTGAGAAATTTGGAAGGACAGGGAAAGTCAGGGGATTTTCGGTGACCAGAAAGCATCTGGAAATGGCAGGGAATCCGTGGGCGATTTCGGGGATTTCGAACATTTTGGGGTCGGGGAGAAGCAGAATTAGTCGGAGAAAAGTTAGAACAAGTGAGGGGATCCGGAAATGAATCAGTGAGAACAAAAACACACCAACTCGGTAACTCCAAAATGCTCAATTTTCATTAAAGAGAGCCAGTTTTCATAAAGGTCATTGAAGTTAACGCATCTGCTCCCAACTTGGACTTTTAAAGTGTCCTTTAGTACTTTGTGTTTCGGCACCAAAAATCTTTTTCTTGTGCTAACTTCTTCAACTACTGCGCAGTTTTGCGTGTGTCTTGATTATTTTAATATTTTCGAGTTGGTGTGTTTTCGTTCTCACTGATTCAAATGCCAGATTTCGTCGTCCTTCTGACGTAAGGGCGTATCTTGATTTCCACATGAGCCGCGAAAAGTATAGAGCTAAATCGAAAACAGGGTTCACGTGAAAATTGAGATACGCTCTTTCGTCAGAGGGGCGACGATTTGTGACCATCCGCGGGAAAATTGATCTTTTTCATCACCAAAATTGGTGATATGTTCGTGCCAGTGTGAGTTTCTTTTAGCTGCAGTGATTGCTCACGCTTCCGTAAAAATATGAGTTTGCCAAATCTGGACGGATAAATTAAAATAGTCAATGCTTGACTTATATTAGGTCCCATACTCGGTAGCAGCATGTGATTACTGTGCCCAGAGACAAGGTGCCTCAAAAAGTCTGCTCTTACGATCCATTAAGCAATGAAAACAACTGGAGCAAAATTTATTTTCAGGGGTTCGATATTTTGTTAAGATCCTGCAGCATCATTCATCTTGTCGTCATATCAGATGAAGATTGAACAACCCATCAAGAATTTCTACCGAATCGATCGCTTAATCCACGATTCATCAGTCATAGTTAGGTGAAGTATAGGGATGATCCTCGAGAATGACCCCAACGCAGAGAATGGCCATAGCAATGGGAAATCACAGGATATTTTGTTTGGGCCTACGTCGAGCACAACAGAATCCGGAAACTTAGAACTTTAAGAACAACGAAAGCACTCACTCCTTCGATCATCCACAATGGCGCCATCTCACGGAAAACCCTGTGCTGAGGTTTACCCAGATTCGCGTAAAATGAAAATGGCTGTTTTGCGGTGGGAACGTAAATAAATCTGCACGAACCTACTTCAGCCTGGAAGTCCGGGGGATGAGGCTGAGGCCCTCCGTCGATCGTTCTGCAATTATTTTTTACGATGATGGTCCTCGGAAGGTCGGGGTTTTAATCATCAGTCTAGGTTTTGAGGTAGCTGGGAATAGGCTCCAGTCGGGGCCAGCGATGCCAAGTCCAAGCATTGTTATGTTTCACTAGAATCCGCAAGCCACCAAGTGAGACATACATGGAGCGCTATGCAGAAACCTTACTGAAATTTGCACAAAAA